AAAGAGAAAGGGGTGGGGGATCGTGGTTAGAGATTCTGTCTCAATATTACTATCTTTTTTGTTCCTTTTGGGTCTTACCAATTTGTTTTTTATCCATGGGTTCGCCAAATGAAAAAGGGTAAGATAGCATTAACAAACTCTATTATCCATCTCATTCAACAAACTCTAAAGGGGGAAGGGTCTTCATAATTTCCAGAACCTCTAGGGCGAGAGTAGTTTTGGTCAACCTCCTGGCTACTGAATGTAATTTGACCTAGGCCATTACTTAATAAATACAAAAAGACGCACCCCTTCTCTCTCAAAAAACTAAACCAAGAATGCATTGTTGATTAATCAAGCAAAACAATATTCAGTTTAAAATGACCATATCAAAAAAAACACATTTTTTTATTCTATAGCAGTAGTGGTAGGGTAGGAACTCCCGTGGAACAATTGGGTTTTGGGTCAATATCAGACGAATGTATAATGCAGCCAAGTAAAGAAAAGGACTTCCTTACTTTTCCTTCATAGTAGTCTTAATGACTATTAGTTTGAAGCCTTATGAAACAAGTTTTGCTTGGCACTCGGTTCCTTCGTCTTAAATCAAGTTCAGTTTACCTTTTTTAGCAAGATTGTGAAAGTCACATAGAAGTATGTCTCTGAAAATGATGCTACTGCTCATACCGTAGTTTCATTTTGGATTATTACCTGTGCAAAAGGTGCTAAATTGACATTTGACACAGTGACGGGCTACAATTTCTGAGAACACCTAGTTGATTCACCAAAAGTGGTACAATGCTTTGTACTCAGAAAATTACCTAGACGCCTTAAACTTACCTGTGACAACGTCACTTGTAAGTGGTAACACCTTAGCATCAGAGATTCAGAGTTTCTGAACAAATGTCATGTTCATGNCACCAAAAGTGGTACAATGCTTTGTACTCAGAAAATTACCTAGACGCCTTAAACTTGCCTGTGACAACGTCACTTGTAAGTGGTAACACCTTAGCATCAGAGATTCAGAGTTTCTGAACAAATGTCATGTTCAGGAAAAAAATTCAGTGAGTTGTACACACCACATGGCAGTGCCATGTGGTGTGCACATCCAATGAGAGGCTGCCACAAAACCAGCTTGTGAGACACACAAGTTGGTTTTTCAAAAAAAAATCTGACAAAGTGATAGGTGGCAGGCCTTTATTGGGAATGTACAATTTTTTATAGGTAATGTACAGAGTGTGTTATTACACACTGAAAAATTTCTCCATGTTCAGATGACATTTTATGAGCAAAAGATATTCTAACTGGAATCCCACTGGAAATTCAAATTTAAGAATCTTCAAGAACAAAGGGTGCTCCACCATGTCCAGTTAAACTCCTATGTTGAGATACCTTGCAATTAAATTAGGGTCGGTTTTAATTTAAAATGATTCATTGCATTTTAACCTAGACTTGCTAGGTAAACCCATTTTATTATTCAAAAATAAGCCATTAACTACTGTGAGTTTACTTCACTTACCATTCAAACCAGCTGTAACAAGAATGGCCGGGTAGTTTTGTGCCTTGATCTGGGAAAAACAATGTTATATGTCAGTTCATAAATCCAATTGCTGGTCACTTTTCGCTTGCCAGACAGTGAAGAACTCATAACAGAATGGAAAATAGTTGGTGCTCACATTATCAACAGGGGAATATGACTTCATATAGAAGTAAAACTCTTCTTTTCGAGGATCTCCCCATTCCTGCAACATCATAAAAAAAATCAGCAAGAATGACTGTCTTAATATCAGTTCATCACAACATCAACCTCTCATCACGGATGATATATAATCAAAGGTTATATCAAGCTCAAAATGTAGNCCTGCAACATCATAAAAAAAATCAGCAAGAATGACTGTCTTAATATCAGTTCATCAAAACATCAACCTCTCATCACGGATGATATATAATCAAAGCTTATATCAAGCTCAAAATGTGGNTCTTAATATCAGTTCATCACAACATCAACCTCTCATCACGGATGATATATAATCAAAGGTTATATCAAGCTCAAAATGTAGGTTAAGATTTTGGATTAGGAACCAGATTGAGATGGTTCAAGCAGAAACCAAAAATTTCAATGGACTGAACATCAAAATTGTCTCAATAAAATCCAGCCAATATCTCTATCTCTACTACTATAAAAGTACCTTGAACAAAAAACTTTTATTTTCTCTTTTTATCCTTGACTAATGTTTTAATAACCATTTTATCCTTCACAAAATAACTACTAGAATTCAATTACACATAAATATATGGGTTAACTATTTGAAACTTCTCATATTCATGTTACTTTTACAAATTAATGACTATACACAAAATCCATAACTTACTTACTCATTTAAGTTTAAAGTTAATTGCACTAAAGGTCCCCAAAGTATGAGATTTGTCTCATTTTAGTCCCTAATATTTCAATTGCATTATTTTAACCCCTGAAGTATTAAATATGTTTTTGTATGATTCCTCAACTAGACAATGTTCAGATTGCTAATGATTTTTTATCATAAATTTGTCACGTAATATCTAAATATTGAGAAAAAAATAATTTTGATAGCTCTTAAACAAAATTTGGGTAGCTATTGACAAAAAATGTGTAATATAGATAGTTTTTGACCAAAATTTAGATAGTTCATAATCAAAACTGTGTAATTTTGGTAACTATTTAACTAAAATTTGAGTAAAAATTTAGTCAAGAGTTATCTAAATTATTTATTTTTCCATATTTAAGTATCACGTGACAAATTTATGATAAAAAATCGTTAATAATCTGGACGTTGTCTGTTTGGAGAATCATATAAAAATATATTCCATACTTTAGGAACCAAAATTATGCAATTAAAATATTATGGACCAAAATGAAACAAACCCCACACTTTGGGGACCTCTTGTGCAATTAATTCTTAAGTTTAAAATCTATTATATCTTTCTTGTCTATTGAACTATTTTAACATAAAATTAATTACATTTACCGATACCAATAATGAAAATTTTTGTTCTGTATATTTTTAACAGAGGTCTTAAATATATATGTTTTGATATTTTTTATACAACAATATATATATTTGTAATAGAAAGTCAAATGAAAAACTTTGCAAATCTTGTTGGACAATCAGTGAAAAAAGAATCATTTCATTTTTTTAACCTAACTCTATGTCATTAACCATTTCGTTTATTGGTATAAGTTTTATCTTTCTTATATGTAATGTGGATCNAAAGAGGATGCCAGCTGAAAGTTATTTGATGACATTAAATAGTCGCCAAGATGAGAATGGTAAACAGTGGGACTTCCAAGCATCTTTGGCAATGTTCAAGTCCCTTGATGTGATTCCTAAGANAAAGAGGATGCCAGCTGAAAGTTATTTGATGACATTAAATAGTCGCCAAGATGAGAGTGGTAAACAGTGGGACTTCCAAGCATCTTTGGCAATGTTCAAGTCCCTTGATGTGATTCCTANTTTGCAAATCTTGTTGGACAATCAGTGAAAAAAGAATCATTTCATTTTTTTAACCTGACTCTATGTCATTAACCATTTCGTTTATTGGTATAAGTTTTATCTTTCTTATATGTAATGTGGACCNCTTGATGTGATTCCTAAGAAGAAGAACGACAGAGAAGACTGGAACTTCAATCCTCTCAGTGTTTAAACTTCGAAGTTACTGGTGCAGATTTGCTCAGAAGAAAAGACACAAGCACAAGAGAAATCTAAACCATCAGTAGTCAAGCAGTTGTGTATACTATTGTGACTGAGCATGACAATTTGGTTCTTTCGACAAAATCTAAGCTTGGAGAAATCAACCATGATGATGATTGGAATATTATCAATTTGGGATCCACATCTGTGAGTGGGTTACAAAATGAAGGGTAGTGATATTGCGACTCCACAATTGGTTGCTATAATAGAGCGATAAATATACTAATTGATGAAGACACNAAGGGTAGTGATATTGCGACTCCACAATTGGTTGCTATAATAGAGCGATAAATATAGTAATTGATGAAGCCTCATCATGGTGGTTGTCACAAGAGGCAGTACTGCAACACTACAAAGATTCAGAGGATCAGTTGCATGAGAAGCTAGGAGAGATAAGACAAGAAGAAGAAATACCTCCCAATTCAGATGTCACTCAAGAGCGGACATCTACAGTAAGCAATGGTGAGTTGGAGCACCACAAAGGGGATCAACCAGAGAACGGAAGTTCGAACCTGAAATATGTAAATATAGTTCTAGAGCGAAAGAAGAAAACATAAGAGAACCAGCAATCTTTAAAAGGCATCCCAAAGCCTGGAGTGGAAAAAGGTGCTTCAAGGAGAAGTAAAGATGCAAGTAGTGTAACTTGGTACAAACACGGAACACGGGATCGGGGAGAGTCCTTTTGAGGAGTGCGGAGAAACAACATTGTCTCTTTCTCCATAATATACACTCTTCTATCACTATCCTTTTCTCTATATCTTTCTCTCCCTCCATGTCCATATTTCTCTTCTTATTGTACATCTCATCTTTCACTAGAATTTCCTGTTTCTTTAGAAGCTTATTCTGAAAGATTTCAAGAAGCTTCCAAGTCGGTGGAGAACTAACCTTTTTTACGTCAGTAAGAAAACTATTAGTAGAGGNAGGTTAATATAATTTAATTTGTAATTTTTAAAAATTATAAAAAAAATATAAGTGTATAATTCTTCATTTAATTATTTATAATGTATCTGATTAGATCGATTATATGTATATGTATTTTATGTATGATGATTATATGTATTTTCTCCATTATGTACATTTAATTATTAAATCATCAATACATATACAAAAACAAACTTAAGAAGTTAAGTTCTCATTGAATTATATGATAAATACTAAAAGTTATATAATTAAAAAATTTGGGCTAAAACCAAAAAAAAAAAAGGAGGGAGGGAATTAAATTTTTGGGTCTCATAAGACAAAGCCTCAACTCACCGACTCTCAGACAGTCGTACTTCGACCAACGCAGAGAGAGAGGGAGGGAGAGAGAGAGAGGGAAAGAGAGAGGAAGCACAGAGACGATGGGTCTCTGCTACTCGAGACTCATCGTCGTTGAAGCTAGAACTCTTGCTACTCGAGTAGTCCGATCGTTGAGCAACCTAGAGTTTCTGCAATTAATCCGCGATGTTGATCGTTGATCCGTGGTTTCTGTACTTAGGTCCTTTACTACTGCAAAGAAGAAGAAAAGTAGGAACAATTAGTGTAAAAGGGTCTCTAATTGGGGAGATTTACCACAAATTTTCAGGTCTGTGATCTATTCGTTCTTCTTTTGTTTTTATTATGGTGAAAGAGGTCTGATTTAGGGTTCAATTCCTCTTCTTTTTTGCCTTTTTTTTTTTGGCATTTTCTTTGTTGTGCGTATTAGGTCGATTTGAAAGTGAATCGGCCGAGTTTGTCCGAGTTGGGCCGAGTTTTGTCCGAGTCAAATCTGAGTTTGTCCGAGTTGAACCAAGTTCGCCCGAGTCAGAACCGATTCATGGTAGACTCGTGATAGTCTTGCATTGTGTATCGTTATCGTATCACTGCCTGCCGAGGCGGATACGACTCGACCGAGTTGTATCCGACTCGGCCGATACTTTGAATCTTGCCACCCAGGCACCACACATAACGTAATGGTCTTATATTTGGACAAATAAGTCGTAATTGTCTCAACAATGTCCATGGCAATCGCATAAAAGGCATGCCCGTTACAAGGAGGCAAAGATCACGTCCAAGATCATGCAGGGCCTCTGAGGGACATATCCCTCACAACTGGATATAAGCAATGAGCCTAAGAAAATATCTCATGTAATTTTTTCCCCTTTTATTAATACAAATACCCCTTAGGAGTAGGAGACTCTCTTAAGAGTAGATTAACTGAGCTCCTGACCTGGTGAACCACTATAAACGCTTTGTGCACCATTCCCCATCTCCCCTATTCACGTCTTAAGAGGCTATAAGTTCTGACTAAGTCATTCAGTAACTCATTAGGCCCCAAGGATCACGATCTTTGCTTGATTGTGCAACGCACTCCATCAATAATATTTACAACACTAACATGTAGCATTTGAAATTCAAAATGATTCACATGCAACGTACGTGTGCATCAACTGTGCATCAACTAGTAAAAATCAAATTTACACATACAATAGTACAGCTACAACTTGAGCTGTTCAGTAGTCAAAACACTTGTGAAAGAGTCCATTAAAGAATTCCACCTTTACTGTCTTAGATCAGGAGAGAAACTGAATTATGTCTTTCCTCCTAAGAATCTAATTCAACAAAATTAATGTCTATTTGTTCGTGTAGATAATTAATGCAGAAAGGCGAAAATAAAAAAAACAGATATGTACAGCCAACATGTTGTTTCCCGTTGAAAACATAGTACTGTTTATGTACACTAATCATAAATTCAATCCAAATCTCATATGAGAAAATCTAAGCAAAGCCAATTTGCTGGTAGATCTACTAGCAGAGGTACATGATGAGTTTTAATATTCAACTTAAGTGGCATGGACATAATTAAAGGAGATAACTGATAAGCAAATGTAGACTGGGTACGGACATAACTTTTGGCATTATTTACACAGTGACTGCCCTAAATTCGGAACTATAACCTCAAGGTCAAGGTAGCCTAGTACACGAGATTCCCACCACTGAAGAGTTTGGGAGGGTCAGGTGTACGCGGCCTTATCCCTACACGTGGAGGTGCTATTTCTGGAATTCATAAGCATAGCAGAATATTTTCACTGAACCAGTTAGCCCAATTTTAACCACAAAAAGGTGATTACACGAATTAATTTATATGATGTCAGCTTGTTTCTTGTAAGCATGAATAAATCAGATGTTAGCATCAATCTCCAAGAGATCTTACAGGTAGGAGACCAAATTTCCATCCTCTGTTCTGCCATCTAAGTTCTAATTGTTTCAATATGAAATAAGGTTTAGGGGTTGAAATTTTCAGAAAGGAAAAGATAGGACCTCCCACTCTGCAGTTGTAAGAGGAATGGTTGGATCTAGCATTGTGGTCAAAACATCGACAAAAGGAACTCCGGCTACAGCAGCTTTAAATAACTCAGGCCGCATGTTAAGAACAGCTCCAATAAGCAATCCCCCTGCACTTCTTCCCTCAATGCACAGTTTATCCTTTGAGCAGTATTTCTTCTCCATCAAATACTCAGTGCAAGCAATAAAGTCTGTGAAAGTATTTTTCTTCTTCAACAGTTTCCCATTTTCATACCACTGCCTCCCCATTTCACCACCTCCACGAATGTGGGCAATTGCATAAACGAAACCCCGGTCTAACAAAGACAACCTGGATGCCTTGAAATCGGGATCTATGCATATCTGTTGGAAGCAAGAAGTTTTGAACATTTCACCAAGTAAAAGTATAAGTATAACCCAAAATATTGACATACTACCGTGACAAGTAGATGATAGAATTTTAGAAATAAAAATGTATTTTGGATTTGTGCCACACCAGTTGGTTTATGCAATCAAACATAACCTTATGGACAGTAAAATTGAGTAAAAANCCGTGACAAGTAGATGATAGAATTTTAGAAATAAAAATGTATTTTGGATTTGTGCCTCACCAGTTGGTTTATGCAATCAAACATAACCTTATGGACAGTAAAATTGAGTAGAGAAAATAATTAAATGCATTAATTCCAAATATTCAAGCAGAAAATTACAGGGTGGCCGAATTTTCTTTCATTATTCTGAAAATAAATCAATCATACTGGATAATCAAAGAGAAGCCAAGCCCCTATTGCTCAAGCATCTAAGTAAGATTTGCAAGAAAGGACAAATTATAAGGAAATAATGATAAACAATTTGCAAAACATAATGCTTGCAGACAATCACATTAAGAATTGTCAGAACATGGCAAGGAAATGAAAATTCTATTACTTTACCACCTCAGTGGGCACAATATTGTATGACCACAATTTTCTGGTGCAGACTATTCAATTTTTAGAAAACATCCATGTAAATTCAGATGCAAGAGCAAGACCATAATCTTTTCCAATTTTCTGAGACATGTTTTCTTCCAACAAGCAGCAAAGAGGTTTGCTGCTCAAGTGAGAGCAATTTGATCAGTACAATTGTGAATTACCTCATATGAACCATACCCGTAAAGTAGTAATGGATCAGACCCATCAAGCTTCACGAGATTCTTTCGATAGACAATCGATATAGGTATTTGGGTGCCATCTGAAGCTGTGGCCCACTGCCTCTCAGTTACATAGTCTAATGCATCAAATCCTCCCAATACCTTACTCAGACAGAAAACAAACAGTTACCAGTAATAGTCATATCTTACCCATCATAGGTTTCTAACAATTAATTAATTAATTAATAAATAAGTATCTGTGAAGCTGAACTAATTTTGTCATAAAAAAAGGCCTTACTCCTTGAAGACTGTCAGACTAGGGGCAAGTGACATGCTCATGCAGGAACTGGTGAAAACAAATTAGAAGTTTCTAGAAACAAAATAGGCTTTCTACATATCCATCGTCTAAAACCGATTTTTATTATCAGCTGTAGCAAAAAAAGAAACTTCATAGAAGTTGAAATATGAAGAAACAGATATACCTAGCTACTTTATTCTATGGATAAAGGAGTAATTGATAGAGTAATCACCGTAAAGGTCAACTTATAGCTCACAAGTATTTCACTAAAAGCTAAAAGAAAGCATATACAAAATTAGTAGAAAGAAATCTACCAACAACAAATGATTATAGCAGTATAAGGAGGTACTGGAGGAATTTGGCAACTGTTACAGCGGCATGCTACCCAACACAGGCATTCAAACATTGCAGGGAAAAGAAAAAAGTGAACTTCCTTGTTTTTGCCACTCGGCAAAATTGGCTCGCTTTTGCCACCCGGCCAAGGCTCACCCACGCCACTCATTTGGCTAAGGCACTTCTAACTAGTAAGAGACTTGGGCAAGAGCTCCCTTGTTCACGCTTGGTATCCAAGGCGACTAAAGACGGGTTCTTCTCGGTTAACGTGCAACCCAGGACCAAAGATCAAAATTTTGTTTCGTAACGTTTGAAACGTTTTCGTTTTTAAGAAGAGCGAAATGAATCAGTCGTGAAATCGAAATTTTAATATTTCGAGGTGTTCCATAATGTTTTGAAATGTTTTGTTATATTTCAATACATTTGCACAATCGTTTCAGAATGTTTCAAGGTATTTCAAGATATTTTGATATATTTCAACTAATGATTTGAAAAAATAATTCTTAATTTTTTTATTTTTTTTAAGTTTGTTTCCGAAACGTTTTCAAAATATGTCGAAACATTTATGCTTTTTAGGTGACCGAAACAATGCACTAAAACGAAATTTTGATCCTTACCTAGGACCTCGAGGCCTAATCAAATACCACTCCAAATATTTAGGAGTTGGGAATATGGCACCAAGGAGTTAGAGTCCTAATGAAATGCTACTCCAATCAATCTGGGGCTAGCAATAAAGAGCGAGGACCAAGAGTCCTAATCTAGCTCTACCCCGTGTTTCTAGGACCTGGTGACGAGGTCAAGCTAATCACCCTAGAGTTCGGGTTTGATTGGGATACATCTCCCTACTACTATAAATAAAGGCACCGAGGACCGGGCATGGCATTGAATTCCAGCCTATTTACTCTACTTTTTTTCGACTCGGTTACTAACTTAAGCGTCGAAGTCCCTTTAGCTGCCTCTGACCATCAGTTCACCTAAGTGTTCTCTTATCTTGCAAATTCACCAAGGCTTCTCCGCCACCCCGTTCATCCGAGGTGGTGACCCATTGCGTGGATTTATTCTCGGACAAAAACAACTTTGGGAAGCTATAAGCCAAATGAAGATATTTAAAGAATGCTCATGAAAAGGGGTTTAGTTCCAAAACCTTATGAATTATGATAGTTCAGAAATAGTTGGTTTCCATAAGCAGACTGTACAGGCTGATCTTCTAGAGCGAATATATACACCGATGTTCTGCATTTTTGTTGGCAACCTTGTCACATGGGAGAGTATGAACAAAGCATGGTAGGCACGTCCAGTGCAAAAACGGAGTATAGGACTACAGTTCATACAGCTGGTGAGATGCTACGGGTAAGATCACTTTTGCATGAGATGGGGCTTGCGGTAAAAAGCCTGCTACACATTTCTAGAGAGTACTAAGTATATTGAAGTTGATTGTCACATGACATGTTGATGCAGAAACAAATAGCTACATCCTTTATTAGTAAATTGCTCAGGTAAGGAATATGTTTACTAAGATTTAGACTAAAGGGCAAATTTCAGACCTTTTTAATAAGTTGGGCATTATTTGATATCCAAGCCCCAACTTGAGGAGGTGTATGAGAGTATCAACAAGTAATTAACATGGAATTTTTGTAATTTCTTGTTCATTAGTACACAAGGTTCATTTCTCCATTCTAGAGTAAGCCACCGTTCAATATCTCTCCTTTCTCTCTCTCCAGATTTTGAACAGTTTCCGTACGTTATTAATTCTGTTATAACTGTCTTTCTTTTCTGATGGTTGCTGAAATTTCATTCTATGGTGAATAACAGTATTATGCTAAAGATAAAAAATTTTAACTCAAAAAGATTATAAAACAGAGAACACGAAGCGGGGTTAATTTTTATGAAAATGATATAATGAAAACCTTTTACTCTCCTTCCCTCCCTCATTACCTCTGAATTTAATCTGTATTCCTATTTGTTAAGGTTAGAAGATTAACAATATTAGAGAGAAACAGAAATAGGTTACAAAACATAACCTAACTCTAATATATCACTTGTATTTATAGTTAACTTACAGAAATAAGAATTACACATACACCCTCTAACTATTAACAATTTACACATACTACCCTATTATTCTTAACACTCCCCCTCAAGCTGGACTATATATATCATATAATCCAAACTTGGAACAAATAGCTGTAAGACGTGTACAACTCAATGCTTTGGTAAACATATCTGCAAGTTGATCTTCAGATTTCACAAATGAAGTTGTAATCTCCCCAACTACTATCTTGTCCCGAATAAAGTGACAATCAAACTCAATATGCTTGGTTCTCTCATGGAACACAGGATTGGCAACNCCAAGAAATACACATTTTGTAGCTCGAGTGTCAAGTTTGTCAAATCCAGGACCCAAATTAAGAACATAACAAACACAACCAAAAACCTTAGGAGTCGGAAAAAATAAGGACTTACCAGGAAAAAAGACAGAGTATGGACTTTGCCCATTTAACATAGAGGAGGGCATACGATTAATAAGATGACAACCAGAAAAAATAGAATCACTCCAATAATATCAAGGAACATTCATATGGAATAATANAAAAATAATTAAATGCGTTAACCATGACTATTTGAGTAGCAAATTACTGGGTGGCCAATTTTTCTTTCATTATTTATGCAGTCAACCAAAAGTCAAACATAACCTTATGGACAGTAAAATTGAGTAGAGAAAATAATTAAATGCATTAATTCCAAATATTCAAGCAGAAAATTACAGGGTGGCCGAATTTTCTTTCATTATTCTGAAAATAAATCAATCATACTGGATAATCAAAGAGAAGCCAAGCCCCTATTGCTCAAGCATCTAAGTAAGATTTGCAAGAAAGGACAAATTATAAGGAAATAATGATAAACAATTTGCAAAACATAATGCTTGCAGACAATCACATTAAGAATTGTCAGAACATGGCAAGGAAATGAAAATTCTATTACTTTACCACCTCAGTGGGCACAATATTGTATGACCACAATTTTCTGGTGCAGACTATTCAATTTTTAGAAAACATCCATGTAAATTCAGATGCAAGAGCAAGACCATAATCTTTTCCAATTTTCTGAGACATGTTTTCTTCCAACAAGCAGCAAAGAGGTTTGCTGCTCAAGTGAGAGCAATTTGATCAGTACAATTGTGAATTACCTCATATGAACCATACCCGTAAAGTAGTAATGGATCAGACCCATCAAGCTTCACGAGATTCTTTCGATAGACAATCGATATAGGTATTTGGGTGCCATCTGAAGCTGTGGCCCACTGCCTCTCAGTTACATAGTCTAATGCATCAAATCCTCCCAATACCTTACTCAGACAGAAAACAAACAGTTACCAGTAATAGTCATATCTTACCCATCATAGGTTTCTAACAATTAATTAATTAATTAATAAATAAGTATCTGTGAAGCTGAACTAATTTTGTCATAAAAAAAGGCCTTACTCCTTGAAGACTGTCAGACTAGGGGCAAGTGACATGCTCATGCAGGAACTGGTGAAAACAAATTAGAAGTTTCTAGAAACAAAATAGGCTTTCTACATATCCATCGTCTAAAACCGATTTTTATTATCAGCTGTAGCAAAAAAAGAAACTTCATAGAAGTTGAAATATGAAGAAACAGATATACCTAGCTACTTTATTCTATGGATAAAGGAGTAATTGATAGAGTAATCACCGTAAAGGTCAACTTATAGCTCACAAGTATTTCACTAAAAGCTAAAAGAAAGCATATACAAAATTAGTAGAAAGAAATCTACCAACAACAAATGATTATAGCAGTATAAGGAGGTACTGGAGGAATTTGGCAACTGTTACAGCGGCATGCTACCCAACACAGGCATTCAAACATTGCAGGGAAAAGAAAAAAGTGAACTTCCTTGTTTTTGCCACTCGGCAAAATGGGCTCGCTTTTGCCACCCGGCCAAGGCTCACCTACGCCACTCATTTGGCTAAGGCACTTCTAACTAGTAAGAGACTTGGGCAAGAGCTCCCTTGTTCACGCTTGGTATCCAAGGCGACTAAAGACGGGTTCTTCTCGGTTAACGTGCAACCCAGGACCAAAGATCAAAATTTTGTTTCGTAACGTTTGAAACGTTTTCGTTTTTAAGAAGAGCGAAATGAATCAGTCGTGAAATCGAAATTTTAATATTTCGAGGTGTTCCATAATGTTTTGAAATGTTTTGTTATATTTCAATACATTTGCACAATCGTTTCAGAATGTTTCAAGGTATTTCAAGATATTTTGATATATTTCAACTAATGATTTGAAAAAATAATTCTTAATTTTTTTATTTTTTTTAAGTTTGTTTCCGAAACGTTTTCAAAATATGTCGAAACATTTATGCTTTTTAGGTGACCGAAACAATGCACTAAAACGAAATTTTGATCCTTACCTAGGACCTCGAGGCCTAATCAAATACCACTCCAAATATTTAGGAGTTGGGAATATGGCACCAAGGAGTTAGAGTCCTAATGAAATGCTACTCCAATCAATCTGGGGCTAGCAATAAAGAGCGAGGACCAAGAGTCCTAATCTAGCTCTACCCCGTGTTTCTAGGACCTGGTGACGAGGTCAAGCTAATCACCCTAGAGTTCGGGTTTGATTGGGATACATCTCCCTACTACTATAAATAAAGGCACCGAGGACCGGGCATGGCATTGAATTCCAGCCTATTTACTCTACTTTTTTCCAACTCGGTTACTAACTTAAGCGTCGAAGTCCCTTTAGCTGCCTCTGACCATCAGTTCACCTAAGTGTTCTCTTATCTTGCAAATTCACCAAGGCTTCTCCGCCACCCCGTTCATCCGAGGTGGTGACCCATTGCGTGGATTTATTCTCGGACAAAAACAACTTTGGGAAGCTATAAGCCAAATGAAGATATTTAAAGAATGCTCATGAAAAGGGGTTTAGTTCCAAAACCTTATGAATTATGATAGTTCAGAAATAGTTGGTTTCCATAAGCAGACTGTACAGGCTGATCTTCTAGAGCGAATATATACACCGATGTTCTGCATTTTTGTTGGCAACCTTGTCACATGGGAGAGTATGAACAAAGCATGGTAGGCACGTCCAGTGCAAAAACGGAGTATAGGACTACAGTTCATACAGCTGGTGAGATGCTACGGGTAA